ATAATACCCAGGAGTAGAGAAGGAGATTTTCAAAGAAATAATGCACTTTCACAATATGATCTATATAGTCCCGCCCTAGCACCAGAACCCCTGACCCTGGGGCCATGAATTTTACAATTTTGGTGGAGGGCTCAATGCTGATTACAATCATGCCAACAGTTCGACTGCTTGATGTCCAGGAGTAAAGAAGAAGATTTTTAAAGATTGCATTAATTTTGATGGTTTTGGCCCCACCCCTCAGGCCCCAGGGGGGCAGGGGCCACGAATTTCACAATTTTTGTTCCCCTTCACCCATAGATGCTATATGCCAAAACTGGTTGAAATTGGTTTGCTGGTTCCAGAGAAGAAGCTGAAAATGTTCAAAAGTTTACGAACGACGAACGACGGACAACGCACGACGCACGACGACGGACGAAAAGAGATAGCAATAGGTCACCTGAGTGACTCAGGTGACCTAAAAAATCAAATAGATTACACGTTCAGTATGTACTGGTCCCTGCTGAAAAAGCAGGTAACAACATCATCTTTGTTTGTAAAGCTCATTATTCAAATTATATTTTAGAGGAACTGGGATTTTATTCAACACGTGTAATCCAACGTATACCCATAGCTCCCTTTCTAAGGAGGAAATTCTTCAAAATCATATGTCAGCTCTGAATACTTTTATATTCCCAACAACCAACATGATTTTGAATTACCATATCTATATTGGATTCCGAAACTTCGTAAAAAAGACACATAACGGGTTCCAGTAAATGTTCTACCAAGCCTCTTTATTCACTCCTCACTAAAATATTAACAGTAGTGAAGGAGAAACTTCAGGAGTACTGTGCAACAATATATTCGAGAAGTGGTGTTAATCAGACGTGGATACTTAAAAATTCCAAGGAACTTTTGGAAAATTTGAAATCACAAAATTTTATCAAAATCTACAACATAAAAACTTTTCAACTTTATATACAACCATTCCCCATGACAAATTAAAGTCCAGGGTTTTGATGCCATTGACAGCTAGGTTTATTTTCAATAAAAATGGAACTCGTAAATTTACTTACATTGTCACTGTCATTTGTAAAATTATTTTGTTAAAAAAATTCTGAATGTACACACAAGTACTCTGAAGTTGATATTAAAAAGATGCTCAAGATTCTGATCGACAATATCTATGTGGTTTTTGGAGACCAGGTCTTCCAGCAATCTATTGGAATTCCCAAAGGTACCAATTGCGCCCCGCTATAAGCAGAACTATTTTTGTATTCATATGAAGTATAATTTGTTCAAAATCTTATACATGAAAAGATAAAAAACACTTGCTGTGGCCTTCAACTCGACATTTAGATATATCGACGACGTATTGTCAATTAACAATGGTTATTTTCATTCTTATGTCGTTACGATATACCGGTGAACTTTAAATAAAAGATACCATACAGTCTGACAAATCTGTTTCATATTTAGATAATTTACTAGAAAAAAAATTAATGGTAATCTAACAACCAAGCTTTATGATAAACGTGATGAGCTTAACTTTTCAATCGTCGGCTTCCCTTACTTAGGCAGCAATATACGTTCATCACCTGCATACGGGGTTTATATCCCTCAGTTGATTCGATACGCAAGAGCATTCTCTGGGTATGAAGAGTTTCTTAACGAGGCAATTTATTGACAAACAAGTTGATGAATCAAGAATATCAACAGTCTCGTTTAAAGTAATCATTGATACAATGACCATGTCAGCAAATACAATCTATCATTAAGTCATATGCCGACTAACGTTTTTCATACTAATTGTTAGGCTATTATTTACACATTGAATTGTCGACGGATTTTTCCATTATTTTCCGATCACGACAAGGAGCACACAGCGGGTGTGACCGGTCGGCAGGGGATGCTCACTCATCCATGGCACCTGATCCCATCTCTGATGTTTTAGAGGTCGTCCGTGTTTGCTCTGCTCCAAAATTTGTATTCTTTAATGGACTTTTGAGTTTGAATACTGTTCGTCATTTCCATACATTTCATACCTAATATTTTAATGTCGTGATAATAAAGTATTGCTCTTTCTATACACTGTATCAAATTTTCGTCATATCATGGTTGACAATAAATTAATTCATTTCTGAAAAAGTAAGCATCACTTCATACTACATAAATCTTCCATCTTTTGCTATTGTTGCTATTGATAAAAATGAATGTTTGGAATTAAAACCAAAAATGACTGAATTCAAAGCACAGGGTCATTACAATTGTCAAATATAGAGAAGGAGAACCCCCTTTCCCATCCCCATATTTCGATAATATGGTCATAAATATTAAAGCAGAAAACAAAAAAAATGATTGTCGAACTATTGACGACGGAAGAGTTCTAAAAAAATTAAATATTCTTTTACTAAGCATAAATGGAACATACTTAAGACATATCGTTTTGAACTGGATTGAAAATATATTCTGTAAAATCACTTATTTTCTTGGTGTCATATTATCGTAGTTAGGGGAAAGTTGCTGGTTCTCGAGAGTTTGATTTTGTGGTTAAAGGGGAAAACATCATACTGCTGTATGGAATTGTAACATTTCGTGGGGAATATGAATTCTTGATCTATGAGCCTCTTGGTGTCACAAAAATATTGATAACCTAAACCCCATGAACAGGAGTGATTTCATAGAAATAATCATTATTTGAGATCTTGTTTCATCAATATTGCAAAATAGTGTAATGTGTGCGATGTGTATTTGAATGCACATCAAAAAAGGTTTTGACATCAACTACATTTACATGTACATTGAAAATCTTGCATTTATACATGCATGATCATTGTAATAGATACATGCGCTGTTCATACAGTTATTACAATGTACAAAATATAATTTTTGCCACAGTACTTAACTTTTTATAAGTTTTTTCTTCAAAGTAAAGACTTCTGTTATTTTTCAAAACATAGAAATGAAATAACTTTTTTGACGAAGAAATGTATTTCAATGACGCTTCTCAAGTTAAAGTTGACAGAAAGATCAGGGTAATACAGCACCTTTGAAATGCGAAGGTATCATATAATAGTTGAGAAAGAGTTTCGAAGTCTGAAGTTGCGCACATGGCAACACCACTCTCAAAGGCCAGTAAACGACCCAAAAGGACTCTCGTTCTACTTTGTATTTTGTATAATAGTGAAAGTATTTGCAACATCTTCAAGTTAAACCCCCACATTACAGAACTGTAAAATATCCAAGGTCTGGAGTTAAATATTAAGCATTCTGATAGTATTGCATAAGAAATACTAGTCCCCTACCGGCAATTAAATGCAATCATGCAGATTCCCCTTAAAAATTAAAAATACCGGAATTCCGCCCAAAACCATTGAAGCGGAACAAAATGTAAACTTAATCTAGAACTCATGAATATGGAAATTCAGCTCAATATCTGCATAAATTGCACATATGGAGAAATGGTGTTCATTCTGCTGATTTGCATATCGGTCATTTTTGAGCTATAATGGCGGCCAAATTTATAAAGGTTTATATAGAGAAAATACAAAAATTGCGAATTTTTATATCCTAACTATTTCGGATAAAGTTCTTCCGCCGATGGTTTGATTCTTCTTGATATCTTCTACCGGAAATGACAAGATTGTTGATACCAAAGTGAAAGTTGCGACCGCCTTTTAGATTTGAAATTCCGAAGCGAGAGTATAATGTTTTAATGAAGGAAAGAACACAGAATTGGTGTCTTTATCATTTTTGGTGATTAAATGTAAGTGTTTATTGCAAGTTGACAGAGTTCTTCCGCCGATTAATAGGTGCAGACGAATGCCTGTTTTTATAAAATACAGATGATTTATTGTTTCATGAAGAGTTACGAACGCCTTTTTAATTTGAAAACGGCAATTTCTTGCATCAGTGTGACCTACTTATTACCAAAGAAAGATGGTTTCATGAGTTGCCCACTGTTAATAACCCAAAACTCTGCCCAAATAAATATGACGGAAGCTTAAAAAAACAAAACAAACTGTGCTTGCAGGTTTTAATTAAAAAAATTAAAGAAATGGAATATTTCGAGTTTATGAAGGATCTTATGAATATTAATGAGAAGTAAATCACGTGGGAGCAACCTCATGAATAAACTGTACATCATTTCTCCATATGAAAATATCACAGGATAAAACTGCACCTTTCCGTCAACTGAATGGTCACTGAAAGGTCTGGAAAGGTCACTGACTGTCAGCGCTCTGCCATTCAGTCACCTTTCAGTCGCCTTTCAGTTATCTGAATGGCATATTTTCGTAATGGAAATGTATAGGAAAAAATTCGGAAAACCAAGTGGAAAATCTGGTTCCCATAATTTTTTTAAAAAAATGTTTTCCAGTAAAGAATCATTGAAGCGTAACGAAATACGAACTTGATCTATTTCTCATCAAGATACTCATATACGAGAAAATCAGCTCAATATCTGCAGGTCTTTAGAAAGGAAGTGTGGAAAACCAAGTGAGACAGACTAACAGGCAGGGTAACAACTAGATAGACGAACAGTCGAGGGGGAAACCGGTTTCACAGGTAGATACTTATTACATATTACTGCAAGCCATTTGTAAATAGGGTCCTAATTCTAGTAATATGCGGAGATACATTCACACAAAATAATGTTACCATACATGTCAACAAGAAGCGACGCGAAAGAGTTGTTTTTCTTATCTAATGAAAAAGGTAAGATAACGAACAGTGAACGATCTCTAAATATCTACAAACATTTACACAAATCTGTGAAGAGGCATAAAACAAGGATCCCCGAAAATTCCAGAGGTGGGATTAGGTGCCTAGGAGAATTAAGCATCCCTGCTGACCGGTCACATCCATGTAACTTGAGCAATATATATTGTTCAGATAGACGGAACATTCCGTAGTCAAATTTAGCATAACAAAGGCCTAACAATTGGTATGAAATACGACTTACCTCAAGAGAGAATTTCTCCGTTATTTCACGAAACAATACCAGTACATGATATATTTACCTTTAACAAATGATAATCCTTTATATATACAGAATATTGCTGAATAATAAACTATTTTTAACAACAAAGTCGCCATTGCTTTAAAAATTTCTTCCTGTTTCCGTTTACGGTAGCTCAGTCGGTAGAGCGCTCGCTTCGTGATCGGGAGGTCGTGAGTTCGAATCACGGCCGCGACTGACCTAAGCCGATAAAAAATGGGTAGCAACTGTTCCTTCGCCATGCGCTCGGCACTTTGAAGTGAAAGTTGCGGGTCCTTCGGATGAGACCTTAAAAACCGAAGCCCCGTGTCACGGCAGGCGTTGGCACGATAAAGATCCCTCACTGCTCAATGACCCTCAGTGCCGAATAAAGGTCAAAAATTTGAAGCCCTTCACCGGTATATCGTGACGTCTCTATACGAGTGAAAAATTCTCGAATGGGACGTAAAACAACATACAATCAATCAATCATGTTTATATACAGGTATATCTAAACAAAATGAGAACTAGGTCATGCCTAGAGTCATACCTAAGTGTAGTTTAGATACATCTTGAGAAGCTATAAAATATGCAAATGGGTGAGTTGGTGTTACTCTAGTGAAGAACTTTTTAACGGAACGAAAACGGCCGGGATAGCTTATAAGCTAAATTCATGTATAGCTTAATAAAATCGTAAGGGTTTACTGCCATTTAAAACATAATTTTGTAAAAAAAAAAAAAAAAAAAAAAAAAAAAATTAAAAAAAAAAAAATAAAATAAAAAAAAAATCGATTGTACAGTGTCACTTGTACTCTGATCCGGGAAAGAAAGGAAAAGGCTATTGTAGTAAATATGGATAGGGGTGCCGCTTGTCCGAAATATCTGACGTTTTCCAGGCGTTTTTTACGATTTTGATACATGTATTTTACGTGCCAGGAAAACGTCGGAACCGGCACCATTATGAAAAGTGGGAATTCGCCGCCTCCAACTAGCGGCATTCTCGGGTCGATTTTCGATACATGCAAACCGAATAAAATGTCCAACTCACATCTTATCATCAGTACAACGCTTCTAGTACTTACCAGTTTCGCTTTTATTGTCCTTTGTATTTTAAAGCGTCTGGTTAAAAAAATTATCAAACTATCGAGGTTTATTTTGATTTCGTGCATTTCGAAATCTCGTGAGACCTGTATTGAAATGTGGAGTGATATTTTCTTTTAAGCGATATTGGTGAGAACTAAGAGCATTGTGATAAGTTATGAGTTTGACATTTAATTTGATTTACAAATATCGAAAATCGAGTTCAGTTGGGGGCGGCGAAATAAGGCACCAGTTCTGACGTTTAATGTATCAAAGTCGTGAAAAACGTCTGGAAAACGTCAGATATTTCGGACAAGAGTACCGCCAACTTCAAAAATTACGACCATTACCTTTCATTTACCAACTGATGCATGCGGTGGGTCCATTTATCGAAATTGAATAATTTTGCATGCAATTAATCTTCTATACCTTTATCTTGATGGAATACCATTTTTACCAAAAATAAAGATGTTCATATTGAATTATTAGCAAGGTGCACCAGCTGTTTACATCTAATTTCTATTCACTTTAAACATTGTCCCATTGAAAACCCCTTCTTAAACTTTTTTAAAACACATTTACATTTCTGTAAACTCCAGTAATGATGCTAGCAACAATAGTAGGGATGGTGAAATTGCAAATACTTTTTATTTGTTTAAAACTTACTTGGATTCCTCGTTGAGTGCTTTTAAAATCGATATTCTGGAAGGACAGGAATTACGAGAAATTGAGCTTCAAAAAAAAAAACTTTAAAAGGACATTGCTTCGTCCTTGAAATCGCAAGGTAATAAAATTCAATTTGAATTTAATGAAGAAATTATTACCGCTGTAATGATTAAGGGCCATGTGTGTAAAACACAATGAAGACCTTAAATTGTGGAATGTCCTAACAACCCTTGGTATGGACCAGTCAAATGGCATATAAAGGGAAACTTGTGGAAATCAGGCATTCAGAAGCCACCAGAAGAAGTTCATAGTGGAAGTTAAGGGTAAGAGCAGAATAAAAGTATGAGATATAAGCACCAGTGGCAAGTAATACTAGGGAATTGATGTTAAGTTCTGGGTGTAGTTAATCTGAAGACGATTGAGACACCCGGATCTTCTCTATCAATTGGAACCTAAGGGAGAAACATATGGCGTTCCTTTGGGGCCACTCGCACCTTCGCACTCTCGCCTTTAGGGCGAAGATGCGAGAGTGCGAAGTTGCAAAGGCGAAAGTGCGAAGGCGAAGGAGCGATACTAGTCTCGCTCCTTCGACTTCGCATTTTCGCCCTCGCACCTTCGCACTTTCGCCTTCGCCTTTTTTGTAGACTTCTCTGTCGTTTGAAGATAATTTTATTTATAAAAATGGCGTCTGCAGAAGAAGATGAACTGTTTAGTCTGTTGCGAATATATTTCCAGCAAGGATTTTCGCATAATGAAATTCGAATGTTATTGTATTTAAACCACGGTATTGAATTAAGGTATGCTATTTAAGACAAAAGGCCCAAGGGCCTTAACGGTCAGATGAGTACATTACAACAATTTAGAGGATCCATAAACTGATAAAAGAAGCTTTGTTGCCCAAAAGCAAGAAAAATAGCATGATCTGCATCAACAAAATAATTGGTCTAGTATCTATCTGTCCCCCACTTATCACTATTACCATTCAGACCATTAACAAACTGTCTATTTTTTAACCCACTATTATTACTTCTCACATTGGCCTCTCTTGGCCTTTGAAGAACAATTAAAAAGGATACGTTATTTTTGTCTCCATTTTATTCATCTATTATTTCCAAGTCTACCTGATTTTGTATTATCCAATAAATATTCTTGCATAATTCTCTTATTCTATTAAGCATTCAAATACATTATTTACAGTGATTTATTATCAAAGGTGAATGGCAAAGGGGAATAACTTTGCTCAGCAGAATACAAGTTAATAGAGCACTGCCCAGGACCAGAACCACTTAATTAAATGGTCCAGGTGTTCAAAATTCTGGTATATCTTGCATATTAAAACTTTTCTCCGTTTACCTCGAATATGCTAAGAAGTATAGAAAATTTTCAAAGAAATGCATTTTCACTATATTATTAAATAAATAAAGCCCTATCCTTACACAAGAACATCTGACCCACTGGCCATAAGCTCACAATTCTGGAATAAGCACCCTTGCTCATCATAACTATACACTTGTTTCTTTGCTTTATAACCAGTAGTAGAAAAAAATATTTTGAAAGAAATTATGCATTTTCACTATATAATCAATAGAGCCCCCCCCCCCCCCCCCTTCACCAGAACCCTTGACCCTGGGGCCATGAATTTCACAATTTTGGAAGAGGCATTCTTCCTCATCATAACCATGCACTTCCTTTGTTTGAAAAATACCCAGGAGCAGAGAAGAAAATTTTGAAAGAATTTATGCATTTTCCCAATATAATCAATAGAGCCCCGCCCTAACACTAGAACCCCTGACCCAGGGGCCATGAAATTCACAATTTTGGAAGAGGCAACCATGCTTGTCATAACTATGTACTAAGTTAGTTTATTTAAAATCCAAGAGCAGAGAAGAAGATTTTCAAAGAATAAATGCAATTTTACTATATAATCAATAGAGCCCCACCCTAACACCAGAACCCCTGACCCTGAGGCCATGAAATTCATAATTTCTGAAAAGGCAGCCATGTTCACCATAACTTTGTTCTTAAATAGTTTATTTAGTATCCAGGAGAAGAGAAGAAGATTTTCATAGAATTAATGCATTTCAACTATATAATCAATAGAGCCCCGCCCTAACACCAGAACCCCTCACCCTGGGGCCATGAAATTCACAATTTTGAAAGAGGCACTCTTGCTCATCATAATTATGTACTTAGTTTATTTAATACCCAGGAGAAGAAAAGAAGATTTTCAAAGAATTAATGCATTTTCACTATATAATCAATAGAGCCCCACCATAACACCAGAACTCCTGACCCTGGGGCCATGAAATTAATAATTTTGGAAGAAGCACCCTTGCTCATTATAACTATGTACGTATTTAGTTTATTTTTTACCCAGGAGCAGAGAAGAAGATTTTCAAAGAATTAATGCATTTTCACTATATTATCAATAGAGCCCCGCCCTAACACCAGAACCCCTGACCCTGGGGCCATGAAATTCACAATTTTGGAAGAGGCACTCTTGCTCATCATAACTATGTACTTAGTTAGTTTATTTGATATCCAGGAGCAGGGAAAAAGATTTTCAAAGAATTAATGCATTTTCACTATATAATCAATAGAGCCCCGCCCAGAACCCTTGACCCTGGGGCCATGAAATTCACAATTTTGGAAGTGGCACTCTTGCTCATCATAACTATGTACTTAGTTAGTTTATTTAATATCCAGGAGAAGAGAAGAAGATTTTCAAAGAATTAATGCATTTTCACTTTATAATCAATAGAGCCCCACCCTAACACCAGAACTCCTGACCCTGGGGCCATGAAATTCACAATTTTTGGAAGAGGCACTTTTGCTTATCATAACTATGTACTTAGTTGATTTATTTATTACCGAGGAGCAGAGAAGAAGATTTTCAAAGAAATAATGCACTTTCACTATATGATCTATATAGCCCCACCCTAGCACCAGAACCCCTGACCCTGGGGCCATGAATTTCACAATTTTGGTAGAGGGCTCAATGCTTATTACAATCATGCTAACAGTTTGACTGCTTGATGTCCAGGAGTAAAGAAGAAGATTTTTAAAGATTGCATTAATTTTGGTGGTTTTAGCCCCACCCTCAGGCCCCGGGGGGGGGGGGGGGCAGGGACCATGAAATTCACAATTTCTGTTCCCCTTCACCCATAGATGCTATATGCCAAATTTAGTTGAAATTGGTTGAGCGGTTTAAGAGAAGAAGCTAAAAATGTTCAAATGTAAACGCACATCGCACGACGACAGACAAAAACGAATAGCAATAGGTCACCTGACTGACTCAGGTGACCTAAAAAGTGACAGGAGTCTTGAAGTGCGTACGCATTACGTTTTGAAATAGAGTTACATAATCATGATA